TGCAGTGCTTGTGGATACCAGAAGAGGTGTCGAAATGCATGGGGTGGGAGTTACAGATGGCTGTGAGCAGCCATGTGGGTGCCAGGAACTGAACTCAAGACCTCTGTAAGAGCAGTCAGTGTTCTTAACCACTGAACCATCTCTACAGCCCCTCAACTTTCTTTTCAGAAAGAGAAACATTTCTGATTTTATTTTAATGTGAAGGGGAAAAAATGAAATTGTTGAAAATAAGAATAAAGCTGGGCATGGTGGTGTATGTCTGTGATGGTAGTAGTGGAGAGGCCTAAGCTGGAGGATTATGGGTTCAAGGCCAGTCTAAGCTACATAGTGAGATTCTATTTAGAAGTGGATGGGGGGTGTGGAGAGCTGGCTCAGCAGGTAAAGGTGCTTACTGCCTGGCCACGCAAACCTGACCACCTCATCTCACTCCTGAGAACCTCAGTAAAGGTGGAAGAAAGAAGTGATTGATTGCACAAAGTTGTCCTCAGACCTCCATATGCATCCCACTCCCACACAAATAATAATAGTAATAATAATAGTAATAGTAGTAAATTATTTTAAGGGAGTGTGTGTTAGCAGGGTTGGTGGCATCACTAAGGAAATACAATTTTACAGTATAAACTAGGGCACTTTAAAGCCAGCAATAAGTATTCCATAGCTACTAAAACACAGTTACGAAAGACACATGGGTGCAAAATGGAGTGTCTTGTATAACCAACCCCATGTTAACTTTTTGAGACCGCTCCAGGCTGATTCCCCCCGGGATTCACGCTATCGCCTTCCATTTTATATTCTTACTGGAGATACACACGAGGTTTTGATTTATTGACATCCCCACCAACAGTTGTTATTTTCCATTAAAAAAAAAACTGAGGCTGAAGAGATGACTCAGAGGTTAAGAGCATGAGCTGTTCTTTCAGAGGACCTGGGTTCAATTTCCAGCACCCACATGGCAGCTCACAACTGTCTATAAGTTCATCTCCAGGGAATCTAATGCCTTCTTCTGGCCCCCGAGAGCACCTGGACACACGTGGTGCACATGCTCACACCCAGGCATAAGTGAATCTTTTTATTAAGGTGTTTATGTTATGTTCTCACAGCGTGAGAAAAATCACCAATGAAGTCAGCGTCTCTGTCACACATCTCACGTGAATCCTGCAAGTGTTCAACTACATGGCAGACATGGTTCTACACAATCACTTCAGACAGCTGTTGCCAGCTCAGCAGATGTTTGGGTGGAGAGAGAGACTCCTGTGGCTCCCAACATTGTCATTATCCATGACATCACTCGTTTCTCCTGTCTGTCACCTTTTGTGACATCATTCCTTGTCTCTGTTTGTAATCCTCCTAACCATCCCTCCCAGTTCCAGCTTCCAGAACCCGCCTAGCCCTCCATCACTGCCTAGGAACTTATGATCAGCATATCCAAGCCTCTGGTTCCCTCAGTGTCACAAGTGTGACTTTGTCTGCTCTCGTCAGTCAGACATTCCTCCCTCCTTGTCTGCCTTCCAAAATCCACCAGAGTCTGTCATTGCCGTTACCACCTCTTCTGGTCCTGTCCCTGTTAGCTCATACCTTTCTTAATGGCTTTGCTTTCATGGTGACAAGATTGGGCAGAGGGGCTATCTGAGATTTATTCACTTGTCTTTAGCAGAAACATCTGGGTTTTATTTTACTGTCTCGTGTTTTTGTGTGTGGCAGCTATTTTGGACTGCCATTTTGTTGCTCTGTACACTGGCTCTGGCAGCCAGAATGGTGGAGTCCTGAGTTTGGAAGGATTTTGCCCACCATTGTGGCCAAGTCATTGCAAGAAGGTCAGCTATGGGCTGTATCTATGCGTCAGGATGGGGTGGCCTGGACTCCCAGGCATGTTACTAGAGGGAATGTTGGTTCTCACACAGGACAGGAGCCAGTCCCACAGAACTCTGGAGCAGTCTGCTTTTGAGGGTTTTTTTCTCCAAGAAAAGATCTTGAACCAAGTATGTGACTGTTATGTCCCATGGATGGGGGTATGGGGAGCAGGAGCCTGAGCCTTCTGAGTCCAGGAGTGGCTGAGTCTCCTCCATCTAATTGCAAACAGGTGCCAGTCACTCTCACAGACCGAGGGAAGGCATCTCCTTCCTCTGTCCTGTAGTGTTTAATATTGCGTTTCAGCCAAGCTTATGATCTCAGCTGCTGTCAAAAGACCTACAGCAAAATCTGCTTTTATTGAGGCAGAAAAGGTCAGCTTTCTTGGACGTCTCCATGGTGAGGATAATAAATGCAACACATTCATACCCTTATGACATTTAGGCACTTCAGCTGCAATGACCCTTGGGAAAAGGTGTTGGAGATTTTAATTATGTTTCTGCAGGAGAGATTGGCTAGTGGACTATTTCCTTCCTGTGTCAGGGATTTCACCCCCACTATGTGGCATCTGGCTTTGCCTGGATGAGCTCTCAATGTACCATCTGGCTCAGGGGAGAGTGGCATCCATTCGGTCTAAAATGTGCTCCCAAAGCAATGTGGCTTCTGCTACTCGAGGCTTGTCCTGTCATTGATCTGAACCTGCAGGACAGGTCTCTCTTTTCTGTCCCATCTCACCTGCAGTAGAGGGACCCTCTGGTGGAGAGGCACAGCCAGCTGTGCTCCCAAGGAACCACTACCAGAGGCAAATAGACTGGATTTCCTGATGACAGGTCCAACACATGCAGGGAGCAGAGATCAAGAGAGCAGAGGAAGTTGATGAAAGAGAAAGGAGAGGCCATGCCAAGACAAACAGGTCTACAGCGATGCAGGGAAGACCCCGAGGCCAGCCTGTGTGCATACCTTCATGGCTGCTCTTTGCTCATTAGCCTAAGAGCTTTGACTGTTTGATAAGCCTGCTCTCAACATTCGTGGGTTGTCTGTGTTGAGACTGGGTCATTGCTTCATCCTCTTCCTCCTCCTCTTCTTCCTCCATTTCCTCTTTCTCTTCCTTCCACTGACAGTGTCTCTCAGAATCTTTATGTAGTCCATGCTGCACTATCCTCCTGCCTCAGTTTCCTAAGGCATGCCCCACCGTGCCCTCAAGACTTGGTAATTTACAAAGAATAGAAGCTAATTTGGCTTATGGTTCTGAAGCTACAGACGGTCCAAGACCTCTGTGTTGGCACCTGCTTGTCCTAGTCAGTGTCTCTATCTTAACATGGCATTGGCTATCACATGGTAAGACAGAGCACTCATGGCAGCTTTGCGTGTGTGTGAACATGAACACATGTATGTGCTTATATGTGGAGGCTAGAGCTCAAGGTCAGGTGTTTTCCTCTATATTTTTGACACAGTCTGTCACGGAAGCTGGAGCTCACTGACTCAGCAGGACTGGCTGGCCAGCCAGCTTCAGAGATGCTTTGTACCCGTCCACCCTCAGCTAGGATTGCAGGTTCATACCACCACCCCTGACCTTCTACATGGATGCTGGGGATTCGAACTCAGGTTCTCATTCTTGTGCCGCAAGCACTTTGCCAACTGAGCCACCCTCCCTGCCCTTGCCCACTTTTCTAAACCCACTAATACCATGACATTAGCCTGCCCTCGTGACCTCTTATAACCAGTGCTCTTAACCACCAAGCCATCTCTCCAGCTTCCCATTGTATTATTCTTTATGAAAACTCCTCATCGTGGTTGGGTTTCCACTGTCTTTCCTTCAGAAGTGTTGTCCTCTCTTTACTTCTCACTTCCCCCCTCTCTTTGGGGATTCTGAAATGTCAGTGTCCACAGGGCTTCTCTATATACCCACAATCAGTGTAGTTTTTAAAATTCTGCCATTTAGGATCAAGTAGAACTCAGTAGTATAGCACTTGCCTAGAATCCCCCAGAGTAGTTAGAGTCGAGGGAGGTATGCCTCAATGGGAGAGATACTACCTAGAATCCCCAGTGAGGGGCTGGGGTGTGGCTCAGTGGTAGAGCTCTTGCCTAGAATCCCCCAGTGAGGGGCTGGGGTGTGGCTCAGTGGTAGAGCCCCTGCCTAGAATCCCCCAGTGAGGGGCTGGGGTGTGGCTCAGTGGTAGAGCCCCTGCCTAGAATCCCCCAGTGAGGGGCTGGGGTGTGGCTCAGTGGTAGGGCACATGTCAACTGTATTCAGGTCCCTGAGTTTAATTCTCAGCATAAGCAATAAAAATAAAAGCAAACATAACAAAATTCTGCAATTTTTCTTCAGATTATTTACCCAGCTTCCAGGTTCATTTTGGTCCCAGCTTGTTCTCATCTTCTCTTCATCTTTTGGTCCTCAGAGTCAATTACTATCTACACCACAACAAAGAAAACCTTGCATCTTGCCAGGTGGGGTAAAACATACCCGCAACGTCAGCACAAAGCAGACGGAGGCAGGAGGATGATGAGTTCCAGGCCAGCCTTACCCACCTAGTGAGAGGCTGTCTCAGAACAACAATGACAAACTCTGTTTCGTGGAGTAAATATTTCTGGAGTTCTGTTCTTTCTCTTTCTTAATATTATTACAACACAGTTTTCTGCTCCATCTGCCTTCTCCCCAGGTGCTGAGTGGTTAAGTTCATTCTCACATTCAGGTTTCTGACTACCAAAGTGGATTCTTGCCTATGCCATCTGTGAGGGAGGTGCACCCCTCTTTTTCAGGAAAGGACCCTGAGGACAGGCTGAGCCCCACATGGGCATAAAAGGACAGTCTAAGAAGAACCTGGCCACAGAGTCAGTCTGAGGATACCGAGTCTTCTGAGGCCAGCAGGTTCCTGTGGCAGGAGGTTCTTATTATGCACAGGGCTGTTCTCCTTCCCTCCCTCCCTCCCTCCCTCCCCCTCTCTGCTCTGGGGATGGGACCTAGGGCCTTGTGCAACCTAGGCAAGCACTCAATTGCTAAATTGTACCCCAGCCCCTCACTGGGGGATTCTAGGCAGGGGCTCTACCACTGAGCCACACCTCAGCCCCTCACTGGGGGATTCTAGGCAAGGGCTCCACCACTGAGCCACACTCCAGCCCCTCACTGGGGGATTCTAGGCAGGGGCTCCACCACTGAGCCACACCCCAGCCTCTCACTGGGGGATTCTAGGCAGGGGCTCTACCACTGAGCCACACCCCAGCCCCTCACTGGGGGATTCTAGGCAGGGGCTCTACCACTGAGCCACACCCAATCCCCTCACTGGGGGA